GATTCAGTTACAATTAACTTTCTAAGTGGTTTTGCTGAATGGGTCTATTTGGTTTTGCAATAAACTTTTACTGCGTGTTAATTTTTTTTTTTTTTCCCTGAGACAGAGTGAGACTCTGTCACCCAGGCTGGAGTGCAGTGGCACGATCTCGGCTCACTGGAACCTCCGCCTCCCGGGTTCAAGCGCTTCTCGCGTGCTGAGAATAACACAGATTCCTGGGCCCCGGCCCAGGTTTACAGAGGCGGGACGCTCAAAGCTGCCCAGCCAGGCTCGGGACTTGGCTGCCCGCAAGTCTTGTCGCGCGCTCGCTGCCCAGATGGTTCAGCTTGTGAGGCCGACGCGCTCCGCCAGGGGGAACCGGGACGCTGCGACGCTGCGAGTCGTTTCCGGGCGCGGGCTGGGCGGGAGGAGCGAGGCGGGGCGGGACGGGGTGTGACCCGGAAGTCGACAGGGCGTTCCGCCCCCCGCGCATGGGGAGGTAGGCTCGGACCGGCTCGCGGAGCTGCAGCAGTCCTTCGCGCCCTCCTCGCCCTCCCCACCGACATCATGCTCCAGTTCCTGGTGAGTGGAGCTGTCGAAGAGCGGGGCCCGCTGCCTGGGGCGTGCCTCGGATCCCATTTCCCCCTCGAGGACTGCCGACCCCGCCGACCCGGCCTGGGCGTGGGTCCCGCGGTCCCTTCGGCCCCCGCGCCTGGTCGTCGCCTCTCAGGGCGGCCGTTTTCTTCCTGCCTCCCCAGAAAATCCCTTTGCCCCTATTTTTCTGCATCCATCCAAGTCCCTAAAACTTTGAGGTGTCAGAGAGTGTGCGTTTCCAGAGCTACTTGTGCGCCGCGCCCCGCGCTCATTGTGTAATACTTGTATTAAAGCTTGTGTGGTCCTCGATGATTTTCCGTAGTCCGCCCCCCTTTCTTGCTGCGCTCCTGTTCGATTACATAGTCGCCGGCCGGTCCGTGCTGTGGAGCCCTGCTAGTTGGCATTTCTGAGGAGGTAGGAGGGCCAGAAATAAACCGTAAATTAGCCACCTCACAAAGTCCGAGAGGCTAAGTCCTCATCAGACCTTTCAGACTTGGAGGAATGAGTCAGACACTGGTATACACGTAATTTTTCCCGAAATGACTAAGCATGAGTAAGCAGACTGTTTCTCCTGGCTCCTTATTTGAGTTAAAAACGAGTTTTCTGGCAAAACTCGGTATATTTCAAAGATTGCTTAGTGAAGGTTCCAGGAGGACTTGCTCATCAAATTTTCAAGTGAAAGTTTTTCTGCCAAGCTATTGTGCACTCAAAACTTGGTGCTTTCAACCTCTAATTCTTTTTTTTTTTTTTGAGACGGAGTCTCGCTATGTCGTCAGGCTGGAGTGCAGTGGCACGATCTCGGCTCACTGGAACCTCCGCCTCCCGGGTTCAAGCGCTTCTCTCTCCTCGGCCTCCCGAGTAACTGGAATTACAGGCGCGCGCAACGATGCCCGGCTAATTTTTGTATTTTTAGTAGAGACGGGGTTTCACTGAGTTGGCCAGGCTGGTCTCGAACTCCTGACCTCAAGTGATCAACCCGCCTCAGCCTCCGAAAGTGCTGGGATTACAGTCGTGAGCCACCGCTCCCGCCCGAATGCTGTGTCTTTATTTTTTTGATGGAGTCTTGCTCTGTCGCCAGGCTGGAGTGCAGTGAAGCGATCTCAGCTCACTGCAACCTCCCCCTCCTGGGTTTAAGCGATTCTCCTGCCTCAGCCTCCCGAGTAGCTGGCGCGCGCCAGCAGGCCCAGCTAATTTTTGTATTTTTAGTAGAGACGGGGTTTCACCCTGTTGGCCAGGATGGTCTCCATCTCCTGACCTCCGGATCCGCCTGCGTCAGCCTTCCAAAGTGCTGGGATTACAGGCGTGAGCCTCCGCACCTGGCCCCAAATGCTGTATCTTTGTCAAAGAGATTAAAACACAAAACGTGCCTCTTCTGTCCTTTTGAAAGATGGTAATGGGTTGTTAAATCCAATTAGTCAAGAGTGTCCTTAATCTGCCCAGCTAAGACGGCTGCTTCTTTGCCTCTAGGAGTTTCTGTAGTGTCCTAACTAGGTGTTAGTTTGTGAGTTCAGAATAATGACAGTCATTTTCTTGTAGTAAACACTAGATTAAAAGCGGTATCACTTAGCTCCAGGGTATAGGATGATGTAATTGAGCTGCCTACTGTATCTGTTGCTCATTGATAAACTGAGAGGACATGATTCAGTTACAATTAACTTTCTAAGTGGTTTTGCTGAATGGGTCTATTTGGTTTTGCAATAAACTTTTACTGCGTGTTAATTTTTTTTTTTTTT